CCCATACACATCCCTTTCTGGGCCGTGAGTTTTCCTATGTTGCTTGAGATAATCTTTGCGCTTAAATGTCTTCTGGCATACTTCACACGTTATTTCCTCTGGTGAAGTAGACAAATTTAATTTCCCCGTTAGAAAACAATACTGCATACATGAGCAGTCAGGACCTAACACCTTAGAACTACACACAACACAGAAACTTCAGAGGAAACTAGTTTTTAATGCTAGAAAGTTTGTCTCCATTTTTCTAAGTTTTTATGCCACATAAAGTCAATGGTCACTTGCCAAGGAACCAAGGGTTCTCAGCACATGACCATGAGCAGGTGGAGAAAAAAACAGGCCAGTTTCCTACCTGGCCCTCCAACACGTAGGGCTGTTCCCAAAATGTCCTGTGAACACTAGCGCCTCCCGAGAACCCTTACTGAAGATCTGCCAGAGCCTGTGCTCAGCTCGGGAGGGCGGCTGTAGGAGACCTGTCCTGGCTCTGCTCCCGTCAGACAGCTGAGGCACACAGCACACCACAAACATACTAGACGAGCCCTCCTACTTCAGGGCAGACACCTCACACCCCACTCTTCACAAGCACTATACCGGTTCTGGGGCGGGGGTGGGGGCGATATTTATCCCATGCCACTATGCCTGCCTTGCCTTTATGGGTCTCCCTGGTGTGTTTGAGGAGTTCCGTCCAAGTTTTTGCCACAAAGGAGCATCCCTTCTGACATACGTAACCTATTAAAAAACAAACAAACAAACAAACATAGATCAGTACGTTCTTTGCTAAGATATTCAATGTAAACACTGACCATAATAAGAAAGGAAACCTACATGCCTATATAATTCTTCTCCTCCTTCCCAATAGTATTTTATTCAGTTAATCTCAAACTAAGGCTGATGTTGCAGGAAGATCAACAACTGCACAGCAAGGTGTTTCATACTCAGATTTTACCTTAGCAGACGCCATTAGAAGGCCTTCTCACTCTTGTGCAGATTTTACCTTAGCAGACGCCATTAGAAGGACGCCTTCTCACTCTTGTTGCCCTCGGGAAGCTGGATGTGCCATCTATGGACACCTGGCGGCTCTATAACAGCTCCCTTCCCCTCCCTGCTCTGGGCTTGCCGCATTTTCCACAGAGTGTTACACAGTCCTTGTCCTTGGCAGACCACCCCCAGCTTCCCCTAGCCTTGCCACCGTGTAAGTAATACACTGAAACGAGAAGTAGGGTACAGCTAAGGAAAGAAACAAGAACCCAGAGAAAAACGCTGAGCAGAACGGATACCGGGCAAAGCAGCAGCATTAGACTAATCAAATGTAACGGCCAGACTGAGCTCCACCCCACGAGAAACTAAAAAGAATGGCTGCCTCTAGCTCTCAACTACTAATCTTTCTTCTTTAATAGGTTTGTGCCATGCACTTAGCAGAGAGAGAGAGGAAAAGTGAGAAATCACCCCCATCCCCTCCAAAGGGGGTTGTCACGCCACAATCTTGGCCCGTACATTACATGCATCTGACGTGATTTTCTTTCTTTTTAAAAATTATTATTTTTTTTAAGTTTGCTATAGGGCATGTGTGCCTACCAGAGAGAGACACAGAGAGAGGGAAAGTTATAAAGCAAGCCACCAGGTCTGGGGACTTGAACCGTGGTTGGCCAGGTGGGAGTCCAGCACATCAACTACCATGCCACCTGCTGGCCCTAGCTACTAACCTTTTTTTTTTTTTGAAAAAGCAAACAAACAAAAACAAAAACCCAAGCCAGTCCTGTGGACTAGCGGTTAAGAGAGCTGATCCCATTTGGCCATCCATGGTTTCAATCTCATCCCTAGAGGCTTAAAAATTACGCAAGCATGTGTGCTCAAAATCCCACCAGGGTGGAAATGGAGAAAAGATTATGGCATTAACCTGCTCTACTAGGGATTATGTTCTCCCTGGCCCTCTGTCAAGCACATTTTGCCCTCTGACAATTAAAAAAAAAAATCCCTCCCCCCTCAGAAAAAAACCTTTAAGATCTAGGGCTTATAGATACCAAAAATCCATCATGAAAACAGATAACACATTCAAGGAGATAAGTCTTTTTTTTTTTGGAGGGGAAAGTTTTTTATTAAGGCTCTGAAAATGTTAAACTATCAATATTATCCAAACCTTTTGAATAGTCAAGGAAAAGAATGACACAGGCAGTAAACAGACAAGGTTAAAAACAACACAAATGCTAGCCACAGAGGCCCCATAGTAACGCAATGCCCAGTAATGCCAGAGCCACGTGACAAAGCCCTTGGTCTGCATCCCAAGGTCTCCTGTACATGACCGAAGCACATGTGCCCGTGACCATGACCCCGACTAGCTGAGGGTGGACTACAGCAAGAGGACCCTACTGGGGGAATGCCTATGTTTGTGTATGTGGGTGTCTTTCTCATGCAAAAAGAGTGAGCTTTCGGGGACCAGCAGTAGGCATAATGGCTATATCACTACACTCCCATGTAGTTGACTGCAGTTCGAGTCCCGGACCTGGTGGGTTAAACATGTTGGGCACGTGTGCATGTGTGCCCAAGATCCCAAGAGGAGAATAGAAGAGAAGGGACTGTGGCGTGGCCATGCCCCTGGGAGTGATTTCTCGCTTTCTATCTCTCTTTCTGGTGAGCGTACATGCCCTGTAGCAAAAACCTCTCTTTAAATTAAAAAAAGAAAAAGGGAGTGAGCTTTTAAAAAGAAAGAAAATAACATAGAGAAGCAAAGGCTTGGCCGGAGCACTATGACTATCACAGCCATGAAGCATTATCGGTCCTTGTGAACACATTACATTTGAGCAGCCATGACAGGAGCGGGAGAAGAGACGCACAGGGCCTCTTTGGATGAAAGCGTTAAGAGCTAAATAAGCAGAATGGTGTCCCCGCCCTACAGTTCCTGCCTTCTCCGTGTAACCATGGAAGAGACCAGAGAGCACACGGCTAACCATACCTACCCTCGTGCACCTTCCCGTGTCGCTTCAGACTGCTGGGGGAGGAGAAGTGTTTGCCACATCCTTCCTGGGTACACCTGGGTCAGCGACATGAGAAACATTAGCCATACATTTCCACAGAGAACTCCACGCAGGGTGAGTGGTACTCTGTACTATTTCTCTCTCCAAAGTCTCATCTCTTCTCACAATGAAACCAATCATATAAAAATAAGATATAAGATATAGACCTAATCATAGGTGAAATTCTAAGTCCCTGGGGACAAAATGAACTGTTTGACAGAAAAAAAGTCACATTACCTTTCTTGCTTATATGACCAAGGTAAACTATTGTTTAATATGATATTTCATCTTTTTTTTTTTTTTTGAGAAGTTTTTGCTACATGGAGTGTGCACTTGCCAGAGACAGAGACAGAAAGTGAGAAATCGCCCCCTGAGGGATGGCCATGCCACAGTCCCTTCTCCTCCATTTTCCTCTCGGGATCTTGGGCACGCACCTGGCATAAGTTTAAGCCACCGGGTCCGAGACTCAAACCCCGGTCAACTACATGGGAGTCCAGCGACACAGCCATTATGCCAATTGCTGGTCCCAACGATTTCATCTTTATGCCTCTGAAAATATACACTGCTTTCTGGGCTATGAAATGATGGCTTGGGCCACACCTCAGCCACTCCCAGTGGTGTGTACCCAGTTCCTGACGGTGCTGCACAGGGGCTGTGACAGGGAAACCCGGCAGCAGGTACAGCAGCCAAAGGTGTGCAATAAAGAGTGCGTGCCACTTTTCTGGGCTTAAGCCACCAGCAGCAGTGCGAGGATGAGCACAGACCTGTCACTGCAGCCAACTCCAAGGCCAAGGCAGCCCAAGGGAGCAGGTGGGCCTGGGCCGGCCACAGCCACGCAGAGCCACCAGCCAGGGCTCATCGAGCCTGAGGAGTCAGGACCTCGACGCCCTTTGTAGGCCTCTGTAGTGTGCCCAGCCACCCTGTCACGTTCCTAGGGAAACCCTCTCCAAGCGCAGGCTAAGGCCAATTACTTTGTTTTGTCCTTTATCAACCTAATGATAGTGTCTTTACAATATTTCATAATTGACAGGCACAATCTGAAGAGCTAAGTCTCTTTAAGCTTAACCACAATTGTAGTAATTTCACAAATTATTCTAAAATACATTAAACAAAAACAATTACACTTCAGAGTCTCTAAAATATAAACAGGCATACACAGTACACAATGACAGAGAAACTGCTGATTAGGAAACTGTTCCAGAACACTTTTTCCCAACTTTTGCATGTCAATCTACACATCCAGATTTCAAGAAGCTTCCAGCCGAAGAAGCACCTACTTGAACGGGGGCTCACTGGTATGCTGGCACTGGTGGATTCTCAGCTGCTGATGCTTCTTAAAGGTCTCCTTACAACCTTCAAAACCGCACTGTGTAATAAAGGTTTGTTAGTCTTGTGACAATTAAAGAATCACCAGTTCCCAAAAGAAGCTTGCCAAGACAAAACCATTTATCTACTTTACGTCTAGAAGCTTTCAGGAGTAATGGCATTTGAAAAAGCAAAAATGTTTCAGTTCGATAGCCTGCCAAGAATATACTTTAATTCCTACCATAATGTTGGCTTCCAAAATTAAATCTTTATAATTATGATAGCCACTATTAAACTAAAATCAGATATTTGACTGACAGAATTTGGTTGATGAAAATTTTTTTTTTTTAGAGGTTTTTGCTATAGGGTGCATGCGCTCACCAGTAAGACAGAGAGAGACAGAAAGCGAGAAATCACCCCCTAGGAGGGATGGCCACGCCACAATCCCTTCTCCTCCATTCTCTTCTCGGGATCTTGGGCACGCACGCACACGCACCCGGCATGAGTTTAAGTCACCGGGTCTGGGACTCGAAACATGGTCAACTACATGGGAGTCCAGTGACATAGCCATTACACTAACTGCTGGTCCATAAAACTTTAGACATAGGTATTTAAGTGTAAAAATAGAAGACTCCAGCATAGATAATCATCATACTTTTGTTTTTTTATTTGCCAGAGGGTGTGTACAATCACTGATAAAGGCCAATAGAGAGAGAGAGAGAAACTGAGAACCCTCTATGGGGAGTAGTCATACTGCAATCCCTTCTCCATCTCGCCCTCTTTTTCGGGATTTTGGGTGCATAGTACATGTGCTCAGCATGTCTTTCAGGCTGCCAGGTCCAGGACCCAAACTGTGCAGTCGGCCACCATGTGGGATCCAGCGGCCTTAACCACCATACCACTAGCTGGTCTGATCATGATACTTACGATGTATTGTTTTTGTTGATTTTCATGTTTGCGTTCAAAATGTTTCTTCAAGTTTGATTTTGTGTTGAATTTTTGATCACAGCCACTAGCTGCACAACTGTAAGAAATTATATACACCAAAATATTAACAAACCCGGGGAAGAAGAGTTTTAAGATGCAGAAATCTTCCTATTTATAAGAGCTAATTATTCCAAAGAATAGTATAAAACAGTCTTTAGCAAATTCCAAAGTAGTAAGCCATACCATCTATGCCTCTCAACTTTGATGTGACTGTAATATAACAAGCAGCTTTTTCCATGTTAGGCTTTTCAAAGTCAGAACTCTACACATCAGACACTCTTTAAACACTGGCAGAAGGAAGTTGTAAACACTTGTCCCAAAAGCCTAAACCCTCCCCTGGTCAGGCTTAAATCATGCTGTGGTTAAATTATTCTCAGTTTAGAAACTAATAATGTTGTTTGAAATGGCACCATAAATCGTGTTTCCAAAAAAGACCACCAAAAAAACAGGTCTCAGCCTAAACATACGATTGGAACAGAACCATAAAGCATTATTATTACACCCTTTGGCGTATCACCAAGGCATTCTAGATGCCTCTTATCCCGGCGTCCTGGCCTTGAATGATCTAGAGCCTTTGTGAAGCTTTTCTTACACACAAGTTCTTTCTGTGATGAGTCTTTATAAGCCTGAGGGATGAGGCAGGACTTCCTTGCCAAGCCCCAGTTAGCTGTCATTCTTGGTAACACTGAAGAATACTGTTGGCCACCGAGCTTTCCCCAGGGCCAGGCCAAGAAAGACAGGGACCCACAGTGACAGCCACAGTAGGTGGTACATGAAGGGCCAATGAGGCAGAGACCACCAGAAGTCGGCTGACCACAGCGACAGAATGTGGACCACAGGGTCAGAATGCTGAGTGCAGAATAGGGAGCCAAGGGGAGGCGCTCTCTCTAGCCTCCCCTGTAATTAGGGGTAGCCATGTAACTAAGTGTGGCCCATCCTGCCCACTGTCCATACAATGTCTACAGAGGGGCATGCCCCTTTTGTCCCCTTCTGTGGGCCGGAATGCCTATGTGACAGCAGGAGCTCCAACAGGCATGTGGGATCATGAAGTAAAGCTCCAAGATGAGGATGACAAAGAGACCAGTTAAGAGCAGCCCAGGTCCCTGGTGACCGGGAACAGCCCCAGACTCCCTCTGCATTTCAGTTGTGCAAGAGGCCAGCAGGTGGAGTGGAGATTAAGACACTGGACTCCGCATGGACAACTCTGCGATTCGAGTCACGGACCCAGCAGCTTGGAAATCACACTGGGTCCATGTGCGTATGTGCTCAAAATCCTAAGAGAAGGGACTGTGGCATGGCCATCCCCCCGGGGGCGACTTTTCACTTGCTCTCTCTGGTGAGTGCACGAACTCTAGAGCAAAAACTTTTTTTAAATAAATAAAAGAGCCTGTCTTGTTTGAGCCTCTCCTGTGCTAGATTTCCTGTCTTCCTTGACTCTAAACCTGACCCAAACACGCTAGCTAACCAAGTATGGGCAGGCGGGGGGCAGGTTGGAGAGGGTTCTGACAAGATCCATGAGGCAGGGACATGTAAGACACTGGAGGGTAGTTAAGTACAAGGGGACCATAATTTCATGCTTGTGAGTGAAGCACAAGGGACAAGATTAGCAGAAAGGGGCCAAATCAGACAGGCCATGTGCGTGACACACTAAGAACCTGGACTCCATTATGTGATCCGGGCTTACACCGCCGTGTGGCACTAAGAAGGGAGGCATCCTGGAGGGCGAGTGGGAGAGGGCCATCTGTAGGCAGAGAACAAACTTCCGTCACTCAAGTGAGGAGCAAGGGCCCGAGAAGATGGTGGCTGCTGCATGAGGGAGCGATCTGAGGGACATGAGGCAGGACCTGACAACCTGCTGACTTGTTGCAGGGGTAGGAGAGAAACACAGGGAACCCAGGGAGCTACCCGGTCTTTCCTATGGTCACTGGACATGCAGTGATGTTTCCTACGCAGACAAGGTGGGAAGAGAGACCCAAACAAAAGGTGAGCTCAGCTTGGACTATGAGGAATTTTTGCACATGGAATTGAAGAAGCCACAGACCCCACCAAAAGCACCATGTAGCAAGCAGCAGGATCTGGCCATCGGCACTGAAGGGCGGGCTGGGCTGAGAGTGAGCTGGAAGAGGCCGTCATCTAGTTGTTTCAGC